TTCTGAAACACAGTTAGAACCGGAATTGGCTTTGATATTAATTTTTAAAAGTAAAACCAAGTGTCACTCAACCCAAGCACAAACATAGGAGATGCTTATATAATGTGATTCAAACTCAAGGACTACGTACACAAAAAGATTTATTGACAATTGAATACTTAATGCATGGTCGAATAAAAATCTTGGGGATATATTTATACCCAAAGCCAAAGGAAAATATTTATACACACTTAGTTATAAATAGCTATAAATTGAGATTAATTCTTAATCAAATTTAATCTCAACACTAAATAATTTATAAATCAATCAATATCAAATATTTTATCAATTTAATTATAAACAGAATGAAAATAAAAAAAATATTTTTTTATAATATTTCAAAATAGACTAATCAATACAACATACTACAAAATATATAATTCAAAATAGAAATAAAAATAAAATTAATCTATAATTCTTATGTGTATAAATTATAATTTTGATAATGAAAAATACATATTTTTTTATAATAAAAAATTAATTTATATTAGTTAAAATTATCACAACAGAATATTATAGAAAAATAAATATAATAAATAATACATCAACAACCGATAATACATGGTGAATTTATTATAAAATTAAATTTTGTAACAATCATTTAACATTATTCAATTTTGGATAATATTAGAAAAATTTAACTCATTCAAAAAATTATGATACCATGCAAAAGAGCACGGCTGAAAATTTTCTTCTCGGTACTATGATCTAAAGGATTAATTCACGGCGAATCTTCCTTGCCTTGACGAGTTCGAACATTTCAATACTCTTTACACTCATTTCTGTTTTTGAGACACAGTACAGGAACACGTCATCTCGATAAGAAGGTATATAGTTCTAGAATGTTTCTCACCTGGCATTATCTTCATTCCATTTACAATTCTGAAATGTCATATTGTGCAGAAAAGTCGTCGTAGTCATCCTCGCGAATTGTTTGACGGGACAAAGACGACAAATTCTGAAAACCTCCAAACGGGAAGAAAATGTAATGACCGCCGTCTCCAGATACCAATGTCCTCTAACCGGGAACTATCGAACTTTTGCCAATGTTTGAACAGCTTTCATTCCAGTTCGAGTTTGCTGCGGAAGCAATAAACGGGAACGTGAAATATCCATGTCTTGTAGGGCTTATCCGTAGAATATGTAAACTCTAACTACTTTGTATCTTCATCAGACTTTTAAAGTTTTCACACCACCCAATCTTCTATAATTCTGGAAGTTTTATGAGAAGATTGAAAATCTCGGAACTGCTCTCTAAGACATTCCATCATCACAGGTGAAGTTTCAGCATTAAAACAATGACAATTTGGCAAATTGTGTAACCAGCTGAACTCAGACACACTAAGGATCTAACAGACGTCTGTAAAAAGCTGTCTGTATTACTTCAAAAGCATTGACTTAGCACATCGCCCTTATGAAGCGTCTAGTCTTTGTACTTGACATCGCTGTTGGCCTCATATATTGCTGGAACAGGTGAAATCTCAAAATCCTTGGAGTAACCTTTTCTCCTCCTGAAAATGTCCATATCAGAAGTGAAATGACTGCAAGCCCAAGAAACGCAATGACTGCTTCTCTACTTGTGGCGAACTGGAGGTGGAGGAGGCTTGACCGAGAGTAGCGCTAATCATCAATGCTGGAGTAATAAGTACTCCCCCCTCATTGTGGGTCACAACTGAGAACTATAAATTATCTGTTGAATTTGTTACCATCAACCGATGACTCAGGTAAGCTGCGGCTTCACTATACAGCCCTCATGAAATTCAATCCAGATTCCTGGAGCAAACGAAGATGATGGGAAAGCGTCAACATGTTTTGAAATTTATTAAACGCTTTAGAGCTAATTTAAGCGTTCGATTGTCCATCCACATAATGGAGCTATATCACTGTAATAAAATCCCAGCCCAGTATTATCATTTTGAAGTTTCTGATTTTGTTTAAGGTAGTTAGCAGAGAAGGTATTCAATACTAATTAAATTAAATCTTCTTGCTGGTCACCTTGCGATTTCCAGATCCTGTATCTTCACTACAGGCGGTTTCACACATCTTCTGAACACTTGTACAGGTTTTGCTCTGAACCTTTGGGCCAGGATTTTTTTAGCTTTCTTGGCTGTTTCTACTTCATGTTCGGTGTAATTACCTGTATGTTCAAAAATTTTGTCTTGTTACATAATTAAGCGCAGAAAAATAGATATGAATGAGAGATAACAATAAGAACCACAGCACAATGGATTTGTTTCTTGCAATTTGTCTCATCATTATCTCAGGCATGTCTTCAGCCATCCACCCATGGCAGTGTATATTTCTCCTGAAAATTGCTCACAACACTTGGCCTCATTGAAAGGTGCAACTACTATACTTCTGTTGGTTGCACCAGTCCTTGTAAATTTCCCGACACAGCAGACGACAAGCAGAGCATTTCCTGACGATGAGAACGATGCATGCATGCAAGAAAATGTAAAAAATTCTCTTGACAACCATATGCATATATTACAAATCCGATATTCAATTCGATTAGCAATCCTGAACTCAATATGTATTGTGGCTAAAGCTAATTCTTCTTCAGAAGCTTGGATTGAACTACACGATATGGATATCAGAAGAATTTTTCAATGGTAGTTCGACTCAGACCTAAATCGACTGAAAGGAGATCAATGTCACATGAGTAAGACATGTCCGTGACAAACCAGAAATGATATCCAAGTTTGGTACGGAAGCAGAGTGAGGTCTAAGTTTTTTTACAAGACGGGACGGTTTCAGCCTAGTAAAGAAAAATTGCAGACTCATGAACAGACTTGTCGAGGATAGTTATTAAGGCGGTTTATCTGAATCCATAGTAGTCACACTGGCTTATTATAATCATACTATTAACTTAATAGACCGTCTTACAACTGAAACTGGATGACACAGAATAGATCTGACTTTTGATGACAATTGCCCTTTCACATACCAGAACGAGACCTGAATTTCTGTTTCTTATGAACAACTTTCAAATGATTCGTTGGCCATATCTAGTACTTGTTCAGTCAAAATAAGGATTGGGTTCTGTCCTAGTGCAGCTGACACCTTCGCACACGGTGACGATCTTGACCCAGAGGATGTGTCCTATTTACGCTTGAAGAAGTGTTTCAGATGCAGTGCATTCCACATTGACTTTCACAGTTGCGTCATGAAAGCTAAGCAGCTGGTATGGTGATAAGCTAAAGAATCAATTGCAGACCTTGAAGATGCTGAGACATATTCAGATCATTTAAATACCAGCAAGCTGAGTAGAAACTACGCTATTTCGTTCAGAAGAAAGTAAAATAAAAATTAGCTTTCATAATATCTTCGACTTCCATATTCACAAGTACTACATTCGTCCAAGTGCATCAAATATTCCTGCAGATGATTATTAAAGCTCTGAATTCTCACGTCAGCTAAAGTACGATCGGGAGAATGATCTTTGGATGACAAGAATGATATAGCGTCATGCAGGTGCAGATCAGACAGAAAGGCCATACGTATCTCGACCGATCGGGAAAAGGACCGGATTGTGTTCCGAACGTTAGGTACTGACGAGGGGTTCACGCGAATGTAAAGTCTTTGAGTCTTGTACTCGTTACCGAGCGTTAGAGCGTGTTCGATCCGGGTCAATGACTTGACCACGTGCAAAGGCCTAACCTTTCAACGACAGATCCAACCGTTGTTCTGCGCTGGATAGGCCGCGGTGATGGAATTCTGAATATCTCAGATCAAATGGTCGGCGCTGTCTCGTTGGTTGGGGACCAGACGGCGTCTCGGTGACTCGGACGTCTGCTAGCGCCTAATGGGGCGACAACTCGGAGGCCATGACTTTTTCCTTCAGACTGGAATGTACAAGGATTTGTTCTCAACGTTGGGTCCTCATGCGGCGCTCGTTTATCAGTCTAGCCTCTGAGACTCGTTTCCAAACGCTGTAGGTCTCGAAGTGTAACAACTTCCTGTAAATCATGGGCACTGTCATCCAATGTTCTGAGAATGTGTTTGCTCAGCAAACTCAAACGAACTTCTGAAATTTGATGTAGACGCTAAATCCCAAGTTGATGAGTACATCTTGGTTTTTTAATGAAAGTGCGTACCGAAGCAAATATATTCGATTTTGGTTTTGTCATTTAAGTGATGATCATCTACTTTATACAGTATTTGTTAAAATCTTTCCATGTAAGAATAAAATATTTACGTTGATGCTTAGCAGCTCAAGTCATAGATATGATTACATGTTCTTATGTTAGAAAAAGTTACTTAATAATCTTCTACCTTTTTCTATCTACCTGATTCTTCCCTTCAATCAGCTCTAAAATGAGAGACACTGTAGCCCACGAGAGGATAGCTAAGCACGAGGAGATCCCCACATGGAAATAACACCCTTATGTGTTGCACTCCTTTAGTGATTATCTTGATGTCAGTATCTGACTCTCCAACCAAGCTGATCGGAACTTTCATTTCTGCCGTTGAGTTGGGAGGTCAACCAACCATTGAATGGGATAGAGTTTAAAAGAATGGGATTTCCAACATTGCTGAAGTCAGACTGACACAGGGTATAAGTAAGTTGCAGATTTGCTTGCACTCAATTGGATCTATTTTTGCTGTAATACAAGGAGAATTTGTGTGTATTTTTTCCCAACATGGGGAAAATCATATCAGAGTATTTTACAACTTAAGGATTAAATTGCTGCCAAAGATAAATCTAATGAGAAAAGAAAGATGTCTTTGCTCACGCTTAGAGAGAAATAGTCTTTCCATTATTTGAGAGGAATGCAACAGCGACATAATCTATTGATTTTCCGAAAAATTTCGACTCGAAGCCTGGTAAACGAATTCTCATCATGAAAATAGTAGACTTGTAATTAATTCAGATACGACGCTTTGACTCGACAAGAATAAGGAGCTAAAATACAACTGTGTATAGTGGGAACTCAAGAATCACTTACGCGGACGTAAACGCTGTATGTACATGTGAATATATAAACTCAGAATTGTTACATTTATGAAGGAACGAGCTTTGTAGTTAAGACAATCGAGACATAATAGCACTAATGTATCCATTATACTGTACAAGTGGATTCTGTAAAAGCCTACTCTAGACCGAGATATATATATCTGACAGATTTGCGACTACTACCATAGCGGAGGATTGAGTTTAGTAATTTTGAGCGGCAAGCCCTGTGTGTAAACTGGCAAGGAGGAATACACAACCTTTTCATCCGGCATAGTTGGGGTCCACTTTATATTCCTCACGAGGTGATGCAGAAATATCATCATAGTCATCCTCGCGAACTGTTTGCCAGGACAAAGACGATGGCCGCCTCCAAACGGGAAGTACTTGAAGTGGGAGCCGTCTCCGTATACCTTATGTTCGAACCTAGATGGGTCAAACTTTTGCCAGTTTTCGAACAGATCTTCATTCCAGCTTGAATTCATTGACGTTGCAGCAACCTGTAATGCAAGGAAAATATATGTTAGTTACACGTTAGCAAGCTTGGGTTTTCTGTGGGATACCTCCTATTGACAAGGGGCACGAAGTAATCTATGTGATCATGGTTTTCTCAACTACAGCTTAGCCTTGGCGTTTACACATATCTCATACTGTCGCGAAATGATGATTAGATAAGAAAAAAGGAGAACCGGCACAAGAATTGACTATTGTGATTGATTTCATGACTCAAGTCGAAGGACTACGTTCGGGCATGGTCCGAAAAGGACTGATGATTTCGAAAGTTGGATGTCAAATAGCAGACTCACCACGTCGCCTTTGTGTATCGTAAAACCTTTGTACTTGAAATCGGTGTTGGCTTCACGGAATACGGCTAAGAGACCTGGAGTCAATCGCAAACTTTCTTCCACCACTCTCCAAGAGTACTTCATTGACATGATATCCGCCATATTGAGGGATTCGCCCTCAGCCTTCGTCGCAGCTATAGATATGTGTTCTGTTTTGATAAACAACAGCTCAATTTAATCACCTGTTCTTGTAGCAGCAACTAGAATAGCTGCAACATCCATTGGCGTACAAAGTGATGCACCTTGAAGCTCATGAGGACAGAAAGGCTAGGTAGAGAATCTGAAGACTATGATGCTACAGACTCTTTCCGTTCTGCTTTCAAGTGAATCGGTTTAGACGGAGAGAATCAAGATAATGGAAAAGATATCGATGAGCTCGACTTGTGGGTAGGACTATTACCTTTGACTAGCTCCTCGTACACCTCCGGACGTTGGCCAATGTTCTTCAGCACGGTAGACAATGTAGACGGACTGGTGTCAAAGCCTGCATAGACGACTTGGATGATTCTATCGTGAATCTCTTCGTCGTCGAAAAAATGCCCATCAATATCCGGTCTGGTCAGTAAGATTGACAAAAGATCTTGATCTGCAGTAGCACGTCCTTCTTTGAGGTCCTCTCTCCTTCTGGCCACATGTCCTGCGAGAAACTTTATTATTCGCTGCCTGGCCAGCCACGACTCATAAAATCCGAATCCAGGTAGTTTGATTGGCGTCATGTACATGCCCTTGCCGAATGTGAAGAAATCATCTCTCATCGTCTCCAAGACAACCGGATCAGTCAGTCCAATGCAGAGTTGGGCTATCACTTCAAAAGAGAACACATGCAACAACTTAAAAGCATGCACCACGGAGTTATCTTCTTTGCTCATCCAGTGCTCCTTTATAATCCTGACGGCCTTCTGATTCATGACACTTGCGTACTTGTGAACCGACTCCGCCCCTAAGAAGTTGTTCAGCAAGTGAGACCTGTGCACCTCATACGCCTTGCCAGTTTTTGCAGCAAGTGCATGTCTACCGAACATCGGGGCAATTGAAGGTGGCCAGAAACCTTTGAGTAGTTTCTCGTCACTGCCGCTATTGAAAACGATTTTATTTCCTTCCGGTGCATCCATAAAAACGGTCGTGCGACCCATGACGCTGGCCTTGAAAATGGGTCCATACTTTTTAACCTTTTTCTCATACCAAGCGCGAGTCTCGTTGTGATAGTACGCGCTGAGGAAGCTGTCAGCACCTCCCAAGAAAGATGAACGTGCCAGGCTTCCTGGAGGAACCTTCTCTCCTTTTCTCGTCCATTTCCATATCACGAGTGCAGTAACTGCAAGTGCAGCGAGCGCGGCTGCTGCTTCACCAAACGTGACGGAACTGAAGGTCCGGCCAGGATCCGAAATAGTCACCATCGTATTTGGATCACAGGCTGAATTTACAGAACCAGCTCCCGGCACTCGACACTCGGATGCTCTATCTCACGAAGGCAATAGTGATCCTCGAGCCGAAGCTTCAGGTTCGACAATGTGGCAGTCTCTCATGGAAAGACGTTTCGCACTCCCACACTGAAGGCGATGAAGAGACGGTTGAAAGGTTCTATTTATAGAAGATCTAGTGAACACTTCGTGCACTTCTGATGACTGGACTGCCCCGCCCTCTGAGACGAATTATTACGGCACCTTGGAGGCCCTCGGAAGTGACTTTCATCTGACAAGGACACATAACCGTCGGTAAGAGTCAAACTCGGTGACTCGAGTCTGATTTAACAGCAGCCGACCGAGAATCAACTTCTGCAGAATCGTACTATGCTTCTGCAGAAGAAAGGCCCCAAGTTTTTGTAGCTTTCGCTCAGTTCTGAGTCGACCCAAAGTGACTGTACATTCTCTCAAATGGTGGTGCCGTCTTACAGCTTGTCATAACAGAGTCAAGGTTCCGAAAGCTTGGCTACAAACCACGTGATCCATGAGCAAGAGGATTAGATTTTTTTTACATCACGTTCCTAGGCAGGTTACGCGCCAATGTCTAGCATTTAAAAGTAAGCTCCAGTTCTCTATAATACACCATCACGTTGAGATCTTTAGAGTTTTGTCAAGATGTTTTTTCACAGTCAGGCTACTCCTGCAACTGTGTTTATGACTCCGCCAAAGACGAGAATAAGTTGCAGTTTGTAGCAAATTGCCTGAACGGCAATGATGGATAAAAACAGTCTAATCTACACAGGATTTATCCTACGAGTAGCACTGTGCTGGTCGTACAGGGTGCATAGTGGAAGCAATCATCCTAGACCATATATATGAAATTACAAGAAGACCGAATCACACGTATCTTCCTTTGTTGGAAGATATTTATATGCTGCAGTTAGATAGAGTTATCCAATATAATATCGAGGGAAGCTTGGACATGTGAACAGAGCAAGGAGCCTGGAAGTCAATGTATTAGACATCAGAATCCTTCGCACCTTCATTCAATATTATACGCTAAGAAGTTCATTACCAGGTATTCTTAACAGATTCCAGTATTATTCAACAGATACAGAAGAAGAAAGATACATTAAAAAGAATCATCGTGAAAACAAACAAAAAGATGTACAGTAGCCGAATGTTTAAGACAAACATTTCCAGGCAAATGTAGATTTGGCAAATTATACAAGTGACCAAACTTCTCACCGGCACTAAAGCTCCTGGAACATGAGAATAAGTACGGGAGTCAAGGTAGCTATATTTGGACAAGATGGAACGCAAGCATTTACAACAGAGATCGAACAAGATAACACTGTTGTTCTGAGGATCGTGGCGGGTGCGATATATCGGCCCCTGCATTTCTACACCTTTAACCTGGCAACTGGATCTCATGCCGTCCTGCTATACTCACGTGTACCCCGACGTACTTTGGCAAAGCTCCAAAGTGTTCCGAGTGCGAGTATAAGACTAACGATAAAGCAAGCTTGTACACAGTCGTCCGCGCGTGTATGATTACGTCGTAATATGAGCGATTCCTCTTGTCTGTTCCTTGTCCCTCTTAACAGGAAGTTGCACATGCCTCACAGTGCCTTGACTCTGCCTTCACTCCGCATTTACCTACACAGATTCCGTGCCGTCCATTGCAACGTCACGCTCACCGACGACCTCGATAAGACAAGCTATTGCGATGAATTCTTTGTACACAAATTGAAACTTGACAGGCGGAGGGCTAACGCTGTCTCGTCTAAGTCTACATTTGAAAAGTGCGAGGCAACAAACTTCATTTCATGTCATCTTTACTTTATGTCTGAAAATATTCTTCACAATCTTCTCTTGTCAAAGGGGTTTTTCATAAGAGGAATATTGCGGATTTTTTTTTCAAGTCTATATCAACGGGCATGCAAAAGGAGATTTTCTCACCTTTCTGCTCTGCTGCAAGTCAGCATCCATCATTGCATCTCTTACGAATCTTGAGTTTTGCCAAGTATAGTGCAGGCAGTACTTCCTTAGCTCAAATCTCTGTTTGCCCTAGTTCTCCGGACTTGCATGAAAAATTGTTGATTTATCTTCTTACCCTATGGAATTTGTGTGATAGTGGAGGGTTGTGTCAAGGTTAGGGTTTAATAGTGTTGATAGCTGCTTTTCGACAGTTATCAAGTTTTCAACCCCTCACTACTCTCGAAAACGTTTATTTTTTAAAATTTGAATTTTGAACTGGAGCAAGATTTGACTTTGCAGGTGAAGGAGCTTCTTCTTATTATGCTCGAATAGACTTCAAAGCTAAAAACCTGTTTTATTCATTTTGATTTGGTAAATGACTTGTTAATCAGACTATGGATGCATAACGATCCGAAAGGTTTTATTTCTATTCTATCACAGCGTGTTATTTCAGTTAACCACTTAGCTCAGAACAAGGCATCAATTTGAAGAGCTTTGGATATTTGTCCAAGTCATTTGTAGCATATGTTGAACGATATACATGTTTATCCAATGTTTGCATATTAAAAGTCTTTCCTCCTAGCTCACACCAAGTTTGTACTATCTCAAGTTACTGGAGGAAATTACTTGATGGGAACCCTTGGAAACTCAACTCTCTTGAAGTGACCCAACAGTTTTCAATTTACCCGATGGGACCCCATTCGACGGCCACCTTCAGCCATGTTCTTCTAACTTACTGATTTGCTCTATAGAGTGGGGAGTGTCCGTCACTGTCGGGCCAGAGTATTTTGGCCACTCCATGTCTAAGAAAACGACGGACACCATGAGTCTGAACCGTGACTTCTCTTTCTACTCGAAATAAGCCCAGATAGTACTGGAACATCACTGAGTCTGAACCGTGACTTATCTTTCTACTCGAAATAACCCCAGATAGTACTGGAACATCACTGACGGTGGGGTTACAAGTCTTCAATGGCATCCCATCGGGTAAATGAAACCTGTTGGGTCCCATCAAGTGTTTTGAGTTTAACGAGGGTCCCATCAAGTAATTTCCTCCAAGTTACTGAGATTCCTACACTGAGTTCAAATGAAATTACTCGTGAATCTTCTCATTCCACTTTGTGTGCAGCTAGAAGTTATTTCGTCAGTAGTATATTTTGGTCTCTGTTTACCTCGCTTAGCAGAAGCGTCTTAGATATTTTTGCATAGATTTTAGACCAAAGCTATTTGCTATTCTTTTTCCCTTGACTTATCAGAATCAGTGCTTATATCTGTACGTGACAATTTAGCATCTTAATCTACATTCTAAGTCTGATGAATAGATGTTGATTGTAATGCCCAACTATTGAAATGCGTTTTGTTTGTAAAACTGTTATGTAATTTACAATGCATATGTATGGTAGTGACATTGTCACATTGATGTTTAAATCATAAACTGATTAAAATTTAAATATATATAATATTTCATTCGGTATTTTGATGATGAATTTGATTTAAATATATCATTTTTAAGATATCAAAATAAGACTACTGTTTCTAAAATTTTTATAGAGTGATCAAATAAATCAAATGATATTAATCACTATCTTCAAAATGTTCAGAGTAACCTAAGAGAAGAATGCATTATGTGTAACAAATTCAGCAATAATGTACCTTTTTTTGCTTTCAAATAAATTCATAATATAGATGAAAAATTAATGCAGTTTTTTAGTACCAATTTAGATATTTAATTTATTATTAAATGAAATCTGAATAAAAAAAATTGCGCAAATTCAAAATAAGTTAAAAATGAATTTATTTTTATGAAACAAATAAATTTTAAATGATGAATTTCAATAAAATCAAAATTAAAACAATTTGACTTTGAAATTGGTTAATTTTTAAAAATGATACATCAACAAGAAGATATAATATAAAATAATATGAAGTATTGTACCTCAAAAACAAAACAAAAAAGACATTCAAATTTGACATCACCAAGTATTTTGTTCACCTCTGGCTATATCTCTAGCAACATAAAATTTTACTACAAAATCTCACACCATGTTGGAAACAAGCCAAGTCTCGCCATCCTAAGTATCGGAATTTGAATCTAAAACCCTAATCTCACAAACCATTAAAATATTAAACCATAAAAACCACCGTTTGTGACTCTATTCAAACAGTGTTAAGAAATTGATTGCACTCATACAATAATCATTTATCAAATACATTGCATTTTTGACAACTTGAGGCCAAAACTCATTTCATAAACCAAATTGGCTCATAATCATCACACAACTTGTCCAATATTTTTTTACTTACTTTCAAAAATAGAATTTTGTTGCAAAATATGTAATCGTGGTGAAATGACAAGTAATAGTCTTCTTCTTGTATTAACTTTGAACCTCCTTAGAAATTGTTTTTCCACAATCGGTATAGGTGTCCAATCTAAGTTTGGACTTAGAGTTTTAGCTTTTAAAATTATAAAGATCCCAAATTTTATTTGAAAAAATAAATACACACAAATTTTTGTAATAATTATATAAACAATCATAGTCCATTTTCTCAAAAAGTGAAGTTTTTGAAGAGCATTGCCACATGACACTATGTACATAGTCAAGTAATTTGCTGGAGCTGTTAATTCCATCATCTAAGTCTTGTCTATCAAGTTTGTCCATAAAACTATTTTCAAAACATTTTAAATCAATTTCAATGTCAGATAAGACATTCTTTTTGCCAAGGAGTGTCAAATACTTATTACTCATCTATCATAGACTAGAGTGTTAGACATGATTCTCTGGTTAACTCAATATTTAATAAAGTTGGCTTCATCATAGATGAAAATGACTTCTAACTTGTATAAGTTATTGTGCTTGTGAACTATTCATACTATTTTATTACGTATTTTCACCTAAAAAACTCACTTTTTGAAGCTTTATTCAAGGCCTTTTGAATCTAACATTTTAAAGTTAAATTCATTGAACGTTATATTCTTAAAAAATCATACTGGCATATCTCATGATGTCATATTGTAACACAGCTATATACAAAAATCATCTGTATGTATTTTACAACAATTTAGATGCAAGAATTATGTACAATCTTAGATCAATTTTATTTAATTTCAAATCTAGTGCATCTCAATTCATATATTTATAATGTGATTATATTTATATAAAAATTGATATAATTGGAATGTGATTGAAAACATGATATTCAAAAATTTTGATTATATTTAACTTCAAGAAATAATCACGTACACAATATTTAATTTTTGAAACAAAGCAAAAACTGCAAGTAAAATTTTAATACCTTATTGTATCTATTCAGTTATAATCTATAAAAAAAAATTGGTAAAGAAAAAATGTTTGTGATATATTGACAGGTCTAAAAAACGTAAAATGAAATTTGCTTTCAAATTTTTAATAGAAAATATTTTTCATATTAAAAATTTACAAGCAAAAAAACACAAATTTAATAAACTTAAACAATTAAACTATCTATCTTGTTGATATAAAAAATAATATTTATATACATTCTTAGGAAATTTATTCATTCTTTGTATCAAATGAGTTTGCTTGCACTTTTGTTCAAAAGATCTAGATCGATCACAGTTTAGAGTATTATAACTTACACAAGTTAGAACAATTATAATAACAAGATTATGCCTAAAATTTGATAATATATTCACATTTTTGTTATTCATATGTATGCATTTAAACTGTTATATATTAAATTGAGATTAATTTGATTTGATGCTCAATTTGACAACAAATAATAAGTATACAAGATGTTTCTTGAGAATTGATGTGTTTGATGTTGCATGAAGCTAACTATCTTACACAAAAACACTATCTGTATGCAATACAATATTAAAAAGTTTGTTATTTTTATTTTGAATTATCAATTCATGATTGCAGATATAAAAAATATTATATTTTGAAAATTAAAATGTGTTATAGCACTTACAATCTTGTATGCTAATATATTATCATAATATTATATTGCAAGAAAAAATTCAAAGTTCTAAATTAAAATCTATGATCTAAATATTTTAGAATTAACTTTTTATATGTGCTTGCAACTTTATGATGAAATTTCATGATGAAAATTGGTAAGTAAAAAAAATGAAAGATGCAAAATATTACTGAATAAAAAATTATAAATAAGTAAAATTAAATTTATGATGAATTTTGAGAAAGATATTCTAATTTTTTTATCTATTTAACATTACAAGTAATGCATAATGATATCTTTTAGTTTTTTTGCTGAAATCGTTTGTACCTTGTGCTATGAGATCAATGAACATGATGTCACGTTCTTTATTTTTTGTTCTTTTCTAGTATGCATTAAGTACAATTTTTTTGAATATATATATTTTAGGATTAAAAAATGAAAATTGGTTCAATTTTGACTTATTTGTTACATCAGGTGCATTTAAGTACTGACAACATATAAATATGTACAAAAAAACTTAGAACAATTCACTATAAAATGAGTTTTATCGTCTATTTATTCTTATGTGTATTGATTTTGATATTTGCTAACATGAATTAAGTGCAATTATCCATTTTTTAAATTCATGTAAATTCATTATTTATATTCATTTTTTTCAATTCGAAAAATACATCAATATAAATAATAATCACATTTTTCTTATTGCAGCGTATCTTCAATATAAAATGTTGGCCCTGACATAATATTTAACTTCAAAAGAATTAAATAAGCATATCACATACATATTTCATCATAATTGCAATTTTGTCACATCAAAAATCACCAAAAAAACGCTCATATATAAACACAAAAATATAATCTCTAGATATGGACCAATACATTCTGTGATCATTACAACATGGAATATAAGATTACAGTTAAATCAAATATACTTTGTGGATCAAAGACTTAGTTTCTTGAACTAGCTATTTTCCACCATAGCATCACTCTCCAATTCTCAACTTCAAATATTAAACCTTCAAGAGACCTAATTTGAGATCTATCCCTCGGCCCTAATCTCCCAATAGCGCTATTTCCCTATACAACGTCAAGTACAAATAATGCTTACTGCATAATTGGCTCTAACGGGTGTGTTTGATAATGCACATGAGTATCTAAATACTCATATAACTACTACATAAGTTGGAATAGATATTACAACGTTATTTGTTCAAACGGAATAAATACTTGTCAAGATCAGACGCCATATCTTGTTCTGCACAGTAAGGTTTAACAATGAATTCGTAGTGTTGAGATTTATAAAATCCAAACATCATGCTAACAACTCATCCACAAGAGGTTTTAGCAGAAATCTCCAAATTTATGTTTATTTTTTTTGAATAACAATGATTCCAATGCTCACTTGCTATTTAATAATGTGGTTCTTATTCTTGTACCATTTACTTTCTCAGCCTATGCACCATTTTTACAATGTCGTACATATATAATCAAATATGTATAAACACAAATTTCATTTAAAGTGAAAATTAGTCTAAATAGATGTTAGTGCATTGCTGGTTCTTACTTTCTCAAGCTCACTAACATCCTTGTTTGTGCATACTGAAATTTAAACCATATGGGTTTCAAGGCATTCGTACTATTAATCATTGACGGAACTAATCCACATGTTTTAGACGGAAAAATGAAGTTCAATGGAATGAATGTTTTAGCAAATTTTTCAGAAACAAAGAATATTTCAACGGGTTCTAGTTATTTCCTTTTGAACATTTGGAATACACAAATGATTTCATCAAAGTTTAGTGGTTTTTGTGATGACGGTATTTTGAGTTGTAAAAGATTTTCAACTGAAAATCAAACAAAATGGACGTACTGAACGATAATATGTCGTAGACCATCCGATTTTTCACATACACGGACGGCAAACACTTGTTAGGTAGGTGGTTGCATATTGCAGGAGATATAAAAATTAGGTCTTCTTCATACTTGGGTACTAACTTTCCAACTTGATTAAGTACTCCAAACACTGCAAATTAGCTTTGGAGACATCCAAATGACTCAAAAGTGGATGATGAACTAAATTACTATGTGCTTCATATCAGTGACGTTCTCTTGCAAAGAGTTTTGTATTTTGTAGAATTGTATCTGCATAAATTATTATTTTTAGCATCAATGGTTGAAGGATTGTTTGGTGAAAGTTCCAATCATCCACTAACCAAATTATGCATCGTTGTGGTTGTATGTCAGCCTCCAATAGTCTTCCAGCTTAAATGATCGGGTCAGTGGAGCTGATAAGTGGAACATTCACGGATGGCTGCTTTCTAAAGCGCAAAACATAAGCTCCTCATCAGACAATGAGATAGCACAAGATTCCATACACGGGTTGTGTTGGAGCACAGAGCAAATGATGAATGGTACCGCCGACCAGAAACTCAGAAATGAGCCCAAGAAGAGGAAGACGAAGGGCTGGTGTTGCAGTCTATCTCTCGGGGAAACCGGACCTGCCACCATCAGCATAGCATGCCCACTCACACAAGCAGCCGGCCGAAGTCCTACACCCTTTTTAGCATTCGCAGAATCCGGACGCGTTTTTTTGGTGTACTTTCTTTGATTCGAAGAAAATAAGTGCGTACTTTGTTTCGTCCACGGACTGACAATCTTCTATAGCCAGCACTTTATGCTTCGATTTTTTTTCCTTCATCACAGGTTGCTTTGGCTTTTCCTTCCCAACTATCGATGCTGGTAGTAGACGTTGTGGTGACATGTGTAACCTCATAATGAAGATGTTCAAATTAACGCTTGAACATTCTTTGGGTCAAGATACCAATCATTCTGCCAATTTAAATTGCGGACCTCGAACATCATACCATGATCAGCAGAGCTCCGTACGTAGATATTTACTCATGTATTTAATCAGCCATGAAGTTCTAGCTTTCTCTTCAGAATGGACATTGACAATATGGCCTTAGAAAGTCACTTCAGAAGAAATAAAGAAGTGTGTCTACAGCTTTTAAGCCGGGAGGTCTACGGCTACCTTGTAAAACCTGAAAGGCTTCTAGTTCGGTGAACTCAATGTCATACGTAACATATGACATTGAGTTCACCGAACATAGTATCTTATTCCAAGATATGATATGTTGGAATAAGATACTAAAGAGGCCTTGGCCCATCTTAGGTCTTTCGTTCATCCCTGCACTCGATGGGGTCTTCCTATAAAGTCGTACAGTTATGAGAGGAATCAGATACTATAGCCAAGAATGACGAGGTCTTCCGATCGTTTTGCTAGTTTACTTGGTACCCTCCTTTCTTCTACATAGAAGATGCGAACGAGGCAGACAATAGTCCACTTTACATTGACCATGTGGTTTGAAGAAAAAGTTCCTAGAGTTCAATCAATAAGACTTGCGCACTTCATACTTTCGTTGTGGCACCATGCAATTGGTGATGCTTCTGTCAGCTTCATGAGCAGCTTTTTCAGACTTTCCGAGTGTGCTATATGTGAGGACAATTTTTGAAGATGGATTGTTCGTGCTTGCTAGACTTCACAAAATATTTTTATAATTTTTTTTAGAGAATCGTATAGCAAAGCCCTCTTTTTGAAATTCCAGTCAATACAACAGTTGTGATATCAGCATTGAGTCAACCAGAATGTGGGGATTATTTTCGCATTCATGAAACTCTTATAGCTCATTGCAGACTTTTTCTTATATTCTGATCATGCTTTCACCATCACAGATATAGTCTGACTTCCTAAAGAGGGAAAGCATAGCCCTTATTCCATCTGGACCTCATGTATTTGAATTATCTGGATTACGTCCATCAGCTTGCCAATAGGGTTCTCTACAACCACCTTTACAAAAGGCAAGCGTGATTGCACACTTTTGTATCTGTTGTAATCATGTAAACACGATTGCAGTGTAGAGAGTTAGTCATACTCCTGTACCTCTGTCTATAAAGCTTATCTTAACGTATTGTGTTAAGTTATTGAGGAATTTCTGGTGGTGTGACTGTTCAAAATTGACAGGCCTCCAGGAGTCACTTCTGGTTTGCTTGAGCCTGAAAATTTCCCTTTCTTCTCCAAGGTGTAGAACTCATAAATATAGACGTACATACCCATGGAGATCCCTAAAACCAACAGAACTGTGCCGACTACTATCATCAATATATCACCAGTCTCTCTCATTGCGCCGAAATTGTTTCGGAGATCTGTTACAATGCATGAACGATTCCGAAATAATTAGCAAGATACTGGAGACAAGGGAGACTTTTCGACAAAAATTAAAAACTGGCTCTGGTCATATATGAGAGACGATGAGCCGCACAATCTGTTATATGTAACACAGATGGTTGGATCATGCATGCTGCATTTTTAAGTATATGAAATCTTTTCTTGCATACTTAGCTTCAAAGTAGATCTCATAGTAGCCATGAATGAGATATTTATTGACAGTGTTCATTATATATTTGTAAATTATAGTCACAAAAATTGCACATGATTTTATATTTATTCATTTATATTTTTAAAGTATCTAGTATTAAGCAGATGCATCACATTCACAATAAACTCTTTGTGAGGATATAATCATATTCTGAATCTTCTGCTCAACCTTCATACTTGACATCTTGAATATATCTCATGACTAACCTCATGAGCTGACACCTTACAGTAAAATAGTTCTTTAAGATCTTTGTCATCACTTCTACCATCATAAAATTCTTGTTGCTCTTCAGAAGTAATCATGATAAATGTTACAAATTTAAATCAAGATGAAAAATTAGTGAATTATGTACATACATCTGTTATTTTCCTATACATAACGTGATGATATTGATCTAATTTGGATAAAATAAATTGTTTGTATCTAAAAACCTACGAAAGAATCTTCTCATAAATCCAGTTTTTTTATGCTATAAGGTATCAATTATTTATAATTATTATTATCCACTGTATTTCTTCTTACATCATATATAACTTTCATCATAATCTGTTTTTTCAAATCCAGTTCAGTACTTTTAGACATAATGAACAACCAGACAAACCAACATTTTAATTAGTTCAAAATAGAAATAATATAATTTATAATAAAAAGCACTCATAATATTCTTGATGATATCAAGAAGAATTTTCAAATATATTTAATGAAGATGTATCGCATCTGAATCGCTATTGAAATTTTGTAAAGCTAAAGATAAAAAATAATCATCAGGTCAAACGATTGATGCAAGTTTTAAAAAGTTCGTGACTTATTAACCAAGAATTATGATCATGCGCTTTTGCTTAGGCAAAGTATCAACAAGAGTTAATTAAAACCTTGTATATATATTTTCCAATAAGAAAACAAAAACAAATCATAATAGCTGAGGTTATACCTTTAAATATAATAAAAAATTTCTTGGTATGTTGTGATAAGATTATGTTCAAAGAAATCATTTTTTCACGTCAATGTGATAGATGTAATTACATGAAATTTAAAATTATGGAAAAAAAACTAGAGAGAAAATTTAGGGAAAATGAAAGGAACAGAAATCTTAGGTGTAGATGAAATATTATAACATGTCTAAGTATACATCAGATTGACAAAGATATAATATTTTATGCCAAATTTTATACTTATCACTCAAAGAATTCTATACGATTAAGCAAATAGTTTTAATACTTAGCATTTGGTTTAAATTCAGATGAAGTTATACTAAATGCCAGAAGTAAATATTATAATACAGATCATAGTGTGATTGCAAACTTCATCGTCATGTGTATCATGTAGATTAAGATTTACATATAGAATTATGATTTTTAATATCAACCTTTTGAAAGTTGAAATTGAGTAAGAATAATAAAAAAAGTAATCTTAGACTTTGGCATCTTCATCTGATATACTACTAAGCTTTATCTTCATAAGATAAAGCTTAATTTTTTCCTAATGTGATATACTTGATCATAATAGATCACATTAAGCACAACTTTAACTAAGAGATCAAGGATAGAGGTTGCAAAATTTTTCTTCAAAGTAATCGATTGAACAAATTTGGTTAAATCGATTGCAACAATCCAGTTAACATTCATCAGTTTGGTTCATCACAACAGATTCAGACTATTTAACCTATAGCTGTGAAACTCTAAGAATATATGATCATACTACTAAACAAAGTGTTAAATATGTTCATATAATGTTTTTGACAGATAATTTTTTTTTTGCTTGAGATATATAGGTGTGATGTTATGCATAGAATTGCATTGATAAGACATATTTGTTATTCTAGATTATACTCATAAACCCTTACTAATACCTCTACACCTATGACTGGATTTTAATACTCCGAAAAAGTTTTGACAAAAAAAGCTCTTCACAGAAAACAAGTACGAGGTGCTGACATACAGAACCCATCATGTTTTGTTCTATATTGCTTTGCCTAACACATCTAATGCTAGTAACATAGACATCATCATATAAGCAAGAAATAGCATTAAAACTTGACTATGGGATAAGTGCTAAATGATTGAGCAATAAAAATAGTATGTCTAGTCTTGTCATGGTGTGCAGAAGCATCACCTGGAACGAAAATGGTTTAATATTACGAAAAGAAGTGCGAAAATACATATTACATCAAAATTATTGTTATTTTCTTTCAGTTGCATCTTTACCTCTTGAGAGGTAAAGATACAATAACATACCAAACAAGGTTCATCCCGTACTGGTATGAAGTTTATCTCAACGAAAGTAATAACAACACGTGACTTTCCTTCTTGTATTCATTCGTCATCACCTGCATATGTACAACATAAAACACCTCATCTCACATGTTCTAACTAACTCTGACATAAAACATTCTATGTTTTAATAATTAAAATAACAATTTTTGTAAACTAGAGAATATTTCTGTTTTCAAGGTTTCAAAGTTTCTATTTAATACCCATATTTGGACATTGTTAAATGTCTAAACGGGAGAAGATGATTCCCGTGTTCCGAGCCATTCTACGATGTCCCCTGATTCTAGTATTGGTACATCAAAGTGCACATGCATTTCGCATCCCATCGTGCTTCCGATGAACCAACTGGATTTGCACGGATACACGATACCCTGACTCTCTGAGTCGCTGCGCCTGGTCCACTGGGTCCCCGGACACATGACTGGTCGGTGACCTCAGCGGCAGGCACTGCAGTCGTTAGTTCTACTGGTGGAAGAGCGATAAAATAGTCTATGGAGCCGCCTGTCGTTGAGCTTAACGTGGCCAGTTGTCATTTGGCCCTGAAAAACCAGAAGGTCCTCAAGGACTCGCAGGATTTCATGGAGTACGATCAGTACAACGAAGATCATAACCGGCGCTACCACCGAATCTATGCGAAGGAAGCACGGGCTCCGAGTGCGCCTCTACTGCTTTCGCGACATCGGTCTAAGCGCTGGCTATCCACGAGATTTCGGTAGCGACTTCGATCCCAGCGGCAGAAGAGCCCACGAGATTGCCAAGATAAAATCTGAATTCCAATGAACTACTCAAATCTAGAAGGATACACTTTACGTGCCGCCGTATGAAAAAGATATGGGATGGTTCCCACAAAAATCTTGATGTTGAGGATCTTCCGAACCACATCTGGGATTTGCAGTTACTAGATCGTGCTGAGTCGATTCGGAGCTCAACAATGCTAGATGAGCAGCGCTTGTAGCTGTGAACGTTTAGCGTTTCTATCGTTAGGTGATGAGAACCCGATGCCCACTGGTCTAGCCAACGATCTTCTCATCATCGTCATCAATGCACTGACCACATAGATCACGAATGCTAGATTCTGAATTGCGTAAGTTGCTGGCCTCAGAGCCAAATTTCAACTGTTAGGTACTGTACATGCGCAGTAAAATTAACAATCCTCTACGTCATGTATCGTCAACTTGTAATCGAACGAAGAGAATTGTAGCACAGTACCATTTGAGGTTTGTGTCCAGAGGACCAGAATCAACTTGAAGTAAAAACTTCTTTCGTCCGTGCTCGACGCAGGTGTAGATTCGAACTGCTGCGGATGTAGATCTCATGAGAACTTCAGATGGCTCCGTGTGCTGTAGTTACACCAACCTACCTGCGTACATCACAGCGTCAGCTCAATTTCACAGTCGAGTCGATTCTCATTTGTCTGCAGTCCATTCGTTCATACTTGTGATCAAGATTTTGCCGCTCAGTCTCGTCTGGATGTCAAACTCACAAGGCTTTTGACTTTGGAATGTTAGGAATATAATACGTATACTCTTTTCAAATTACCTATACTGGCTGTGAGTCCTGGATTTCAACATAATTTCCTTCAAATATATTCTTGAAGTAGAAACCCAACAGCGTATTATGCCTGGCGATAATCATCAAACCCAAGATAATTTGATTCAGAGCATCATTTGAATTCAGAAACTGAGAATTTGATGAGCATCTGAGAATCGGATCAATCGACCATGCACGGTAGCGTGGACTTACTGGCTCCAAAGCAGCAACGAGAGCTATTAAAATTCGAATTGCAGCGATTTGTTCCGTTCGCGCTCTTCCTTGCTCGCACCAGTTGTTGCCGATCGCAGCGGCTGCGATCGGCAACTACCTCTAACGGTATCAAAGCATTTGTCATTGACTCGTTGTCCTCAGTAGCCGCACTGTCTATTTAAGTGTGAAAAGACATCATTCATAAACAATTATTTTAGTTCTTGGTTGCAATCCTGGAGGCAGTGTTTGAACTAGTTACGTAGGTACAGTAGATAATTGAGCCACCTTCGAGGAATTTACAGCTTCAGACGAGTAGAGTTTGCAGGTTCTCTCTTGCTCAACCATTATGCTGATTTGTGGCCGCCTGGCTTGGCACAGATCTCCATACTGTGTCACTTACAGCTTCAGACGAGTAGAGTTTGCAGGTTCTCTCTTGCTCAACCATTATGCTGATTTGTGGCCGCCTGGCTTGGCACAGATCTCCATACTGTGTCACTTTGGGTGAATATTATCTCACGTTTACAGCTTTAGTATTTCCTTGACTCGTGCAGACTTATGTTTCTCTTCGTACGAGGCCTTGTTGGATTGCTACTGTATGACATTATATAGGCGAGTCAGAAGTTCATGAAGCTTGCAGCAGAATGAGATTTTTCAATAGATCAAGGGATGCAGATAATCGCAAATATGAGTACAACGAGAGAATGGAAGTTGCAAAGCTTGGTCGAAAGCAATCCCGTGGAAGTATACACGCCACGAATGCTGATACAGTGAATCCACCGCCTACAAATCAGGCCTCCAAAGAACGTGTCCACTCAACATGCGCTGAAATGGTTCCTGACCGCAAGATGGAGAATGACACCTCTATTTTTGATTCTTACAGAACTTGTCGCAACTTGTGGGCCAAAACACTTTTCTGTTGGGCTACATCTCCAAGTCACTGCCACAATCTCCTGAAAATTCTGCACAACGGGGATCAGCAATTTTTGAATCGGATACTTTCGGCACTGAGATCATTGCGTTCAGATCTTGTTAATGAAATCACGAACGACGTCAATGGATGCCATCTCGTTCGAAAACTGGTCGAGGTCGGGAATGAGGATCAATGTCTGACTGTTTTGAAGGTTCTTACGCGGAAACGCCTCCAACTCATAAATATAGGTTCTACCTCGAGGGGAAAGATAGTGGTGCAGAAAATGTTAAAGTTGTATAATAGCTTCCCTGAGCATAGAACTATCCTTTTAAGGAGTCTAGAGCAAGATCCATTGAAGCTTGCCGTTGATCGAGACGGCCAATCAGTCATATTAAAGTGCTTGAGATACCTCAGCTCTGACTACTGTGAGTTCATCTTTGAAACCCTGGTGAATCACTTAATGCAAATTGTTCAGAAAAATACATCGCATGACGGTTTTGGTGGAGTACTTTTGGTACGGCAGTGCTTTCAAGTGGCGCCTGATGCATATCAAAAACTTTTGGTAGACAAAATTACAGATCATGCTCTTGCCTTAACTAAAGATCCAGTTGGGCACTATCTTATATTAGACTTGTTGAACAGCTCAAAATGGATCGAAGCTTCACGAAGGTTAGTGAGAAAGCTACAACGGCATTTTTCTGATCTTGCCATGCAACATTTTTCCAGTAAAGTGGTGCACCAATGTTTGATTAAATCTTCCAGCATCGACATTGGCATGAGTTTGGATTGCATTGTCCGAGAGTTGATTAGAAGTCCTCTCTTTCCTCAAATGCCTCTGAATATACATGCCCAATCTGTGATAAAGTCTGCATGTGCTCTCTCAGAAGGGAAGTTGCTGGAAGATTTGAATGAAGCAATTAGACATGGAAACTGAAAAGGCATAAGTTTCCATTGCACTTATTTGAGTAACCATGTCGCATGATAGAATAGTTATTTGTAGATCTAATACTTTGCAATTGTTATATTCTTGTTCATGATATTCTTGATAGAATGTTAGGCATACGTAGAAAACTTTCGTCTAGACATTAGGCTTCGATACTCTAATCGAGTCCTAGGGAGTATTTTATAGACCTTCAGACGACAAAAAGGCATTTACTTGTGACTGAACAAGAATTCGATTACTACTGAGAAAGAAGGGTTATGGTCCAACTTTTGCTGCAAGGTGGAAGATGAATGTAAGATTGTTTGGATAAGTTTTTTTCTCTAGGAGCTCAAAAGGCACAAGAATGCAACGATGATTAGCACTTTACTTCGAGTTCCATTCTCATGTACTTCCATGTTCAAAGGCAAGCTCAAACAGGATGCAACTTGAGGCCTGTCAGATGGAAGTTGTTGACAGTTTTCTTCACCTTCGACGTTTTCGCTGCCAACTTTTCTAAACAATCTCAACATTGTAAGATCCAACCGAGCAAACTTTTAAGGAAAATAAGGTTTCCTATTCAGTGTAAGTGGACTGTGCTTTTGATCTATTGGCGCATAATTCGATCTGAGTCGTATATGATTTTGTGAATTGATCAGGCCTGTGATATGACTATTATAATCGGAAATTGCAAATTCTGAAAGAGGAAATTCATAAGAACACTGATAGGCAATTTCTGTAAATGAAATATGAACGACATCAATTTTATCAAGATATTGCCTCAGCATTAGTCCGAAAATTGCAGTGGAGCTCAACGTTGCCTTTTATAGCAATCCATCAGCTTGCTGGTTAGAAGCTGATTCGGAAAGGATACAACAAATTGAGCCTTCTTATAACCTTCCAGTGACATCCTTTCCTCAGCAACGACAGTACATATTCAGTTCAGCCCTCCGCTTTGAAACTTTAGTTATAAATGTCAAATTAGTAATGTAAAGATGTTGAAGTGAAGCATGTAATATGTCTATCTTTTCTGAGAGTGTGGAAATGAGAAAGCAAACAAGATGATCGTTTCACTTCTCCTGTATAATGTATGGATATTGAAAGAGTGAAAGATGTTATATCACTGGAAGATAGAAATATGACTCAGAAGGCCATCAGAAGGGGGGTTTTTTGCTTTCATCAATAGAGGCAATGGGGGCCAGAGTTTGTACCATTAGGATGACAGAATGTGATATTTCAATAAACAACTTTCTAGTATTTTCTCTCTTCCAACAACTCCTGATGTCTTTGCTGAAAACTATTGTTACTGCGAAAGCTCAGAGAGCATTCACGTCGTGTAGTTTTGAATTATGAAGCATCAAACCTTAGCTACCAAACCGATTCACAAGTTTATCAAGAGAGTTACTTAATCCTCACCGATATCACTCATGAATTGAGGAAGCCAAATCTGAAATGTCCCTCTAAGCATTGTAAAAGAGATGCAGCATACGAATGCTTTTGCATTTGAGTTGAAGGAAGCATCGTGGAAATGATCTTGTGAAGTATTATTGTTTTATTACTATCACATCACATGTTTTACACCAATTCCAAAGCCCTAATTCATTTGGGATCACGTTAGTTCTGCCTTCAAGTTGGATCGGGACACGAATGCAAAGTTTATAGAGTAATAGCCAAGTTGTTGGTCCATTCAGTTAATTTCCATGTGTTTTTTACCATTAAAAAAACATATGGGACATCTTCTATTTCTATGACTTAACAGGTCAAATCAGTTGAGTCTTGTTAGATTAGGTCAAGCAATACATCTCAGTTCATATCAGATATCTGTAACAAATTATTGATGATGTGTTTAGATCATGGCAGATATTAATATTAGTTGCTTAAGATTTGAAGTTCACATGTGTTGGAAAGATGAGTTTAAACACTAAGGAGGGTGACATCCACTTCCTTCTTTGCACCATTTTGCTCGATGTTTATCGGGAACTTTTCCTTGCTGTGTATCTTTTCCTTCACGACATTATACCAAACTCTTATTGATCGTAGTCATTACAATATGATTTTATTAGTCGTTTCAAAGGAAATTTCATGTATATCTAAACTTCTTGTGGATCTACCTAATTCCCTATGCCAATGAAAACACATTTCAAAACGAAGAAATAGCATTGGTTGGGAGCTTCACACCAACCATATCTAGTATGAATTCCTGAAAGATATGCTAGTACCTGGGACGAGGAAAATAGTGAAGGCCTCAACTGCATAAAAATCAGTCCTCTGGTAAATTGAATGTGAAATAGATTGTCGTAGCGCTTCTGTTTCTGAAAGCAGAGCTGAATTTGACGTCCACCAAGCTCTTTTAAGGTTGTGGACATGGTGTCCAAAAATCCACACCCTCCAAATTGTTAAGCGATTTCCACCTCATCATTGGAACCAAATCCCTTACCATATCAATTCATGAGTTCTCTGCCTGTCTGATCCGTCTCTGTAGGGATTGTTGCCATCCATGGATTACGAACAGCGTAAGTCAATGAGATGCAGTCGCGTCTAACTTCGTGAACTTGCACAAAGCTGAGGAGCGAATTATAAAGCCGTTGATTTGTTGCCTCATGGCGTGAAGAGGAGCTGAGCTTGGTGGAAGATGACGAGCTCGGTGGCTGGAGCTAGCGGAGGAGCATCTGGAAGTGGAGCAGGGAAGAATGTGAAATCAGGTGGAACGGCGATCTCACAGCCCGATAGCAGTTTGAAGAGGAAGCGAGGGCTTTTCAGCAAGGATTTGCGGCTGATGATGTATGGTTTTGGAGATGATCCTGATCCAATGCCGGAGACAGTGTCATTGGTGGAAGATATTTTGCTCGATTATATAACGGACACGATTCACAAAGCTCAAGATGTTGCAGTTCGAAGGGGAAAGCTAGCCACAGAGGATGTTATGTTTCTGGTGCGGAAGGATGCTCGAAAATTTGCTCGAGTTAAAGAACTTCTTGCTATGAATGAAGAGCTGAAGCGAGCACGGAAGGCTTTCGAGGTGGACGAAGAGAAGTTTGCGAATGAGGAATGATGCCGTGAATCCTGCAACAGTGTAACCCTAATTCTTGTTAAGAAGACCAATCTTGTCCTTCTTTCTTTGAAAGATTTCGCTGCAACATGGGGCCATCCAGCAATATCCTTGGAGATGACTCCAATTACATTAACTAGCTTGTGCTCAGCGCAAATTACCAGTACACATCAAAGCATGAATTTGGAGATCTGGTATGCTCATACACGGTGAGAATATCCTATGAGTCCTGCACTAACTAGAATGCAGACCATATTAGCGCGAGACTCAGTTTAGATCCTCGCATTATGTCCATCGTAAGCGAAGTCGGGATTATTGGATTCAGCACATTGAATGTATCAATGTTAAAGCATGCTCCACTTCTGTCGTTCAGAAAGAGCAGACTATGCGAGCTGAGTTAGGAAGGTTCATAGCGAGAGGGTGATACTAAGAGTGGCAGAGAATAGGATTGCATGACTGTATTCTAGGGTTTTGACACAATCACACCTCCCTGTCTTGGGAGGTTGTAGGATGTGGGAGCTTTGGATGGATAATTGCCGACGAAATTGTGGCGAGAGGCCCAACTTGACTGGCTATTCTTGCAGACATTGAGATTCAATAGCATACGAAGAGTTTTTGCTCTGATGACGGTAACTTGCTGCTATTTAACTGGTTCTTCAGTTGTCATACTGAAGGTCGGATTACTGTTTTGCATAACTTCATACCACTAGCTTCCGTCATTTTGTTTCAAATGAATTCTAGGTTTCCCCTGCGAAACTTCGACATCGGCTTTGCCATTTCTGTAAACCATAGTATTAATTGGTTTATAATGTTAACATTGTGCTCATTGTTTGCTTAGCAATTTATAATCCGTGTATTGTAGATCTGTTGTCTGGAACTATCGGGATCTCGACACATTCTTCGTACATCAGTCGAAGGGGAAGGATAGGTAGGTTAAGTATTCTTCATGGTATCAGAGCTGGGATGAACCCTACTCTGATACTGTGAAGAATACTGAACCTGCATGTCCCACACCGAAGACCAGGACAATTGAGACTTCAGGTCTCGGGCGAGAGCTGGATGATTGAATGTGCAGCCATTTGGAGGATACGTCATTTGTTGCTGAAATGCTCCACGCTTGAGTACTTATGTTATATTAGGGGTAGTTTTCATTCAGACTGCAAGTTAATTTTTTTACTATTATTGTGGACATCCTTGTTGGCTGTGCATGTTTTTCTGTATTGAAGATTTAGGTCTTGTTCTTCTTTACTGTGTTTGCTGTCAGGTGAGTGGATGGATGAAGATGAAGATACTAGCTGCAGGTTGAAAGGTTATTTCTGAATTTGCTCGTGAGGTGGAGAAAGGACGTTGAAGAATATGTAAATGGAATGACAGCTACCTGATGTTTGTGAATATCTTATTGTTTAGCTCAGGTGTCTTACATGTCTTCTCCTACATGACAGGTATTTTCTTCAGCCTAACAAAAAACACTGTATATCACAGCTTGGAAGCTCATCAGAGCTCCGCAGGCTAGATGGCAAATTCCGATATTATCAGCTAATATAAAAGACATAAAGTTCCGTTTGGTCATAGCAGATTAGATTGCGACCGACTGGATGAGATCGTTCACTCCTAGTGTTGAATTGTGGAGTGTATTTTTTTCTTTTGAATGCGTTGTGAGCGAATCTTTAAGTGTTCGTTGGACTGAATCGCCCAATTACTCTCTACTCTTCTTAAAAATAATACATATTCTCTCCAAACCTATCCTTCCCTCTCTCGTCTTCCCTACGAAAGCGATCAATCCACGTGTTATTTCCATGACGGTGGCAAAAAAGAAGTGCTCTTTCACTGCGAGCAGAGCATGTATTCACAGCGCAGGTACACCTGTGCTGAAGTCAGCTGGATGTACAGCACGTCTGAGAACTGATGGTTTTAGGAAGAGAGGGGTTGAGCTTACAAGGGAAGATTATGTATCTACGTCTTGCAACCAAACTAGCCTTCTACACGCTCACCAAACGATGAGCAGTAGACCAACCTTCTGTAAAAAGAAAAGTACATCAGTAGAATTCCATTTTGGTTAATCCACATCAGCACTGAGGAACATAGTGGGAGAGCCCGGTAGTCGGAAGAGCATCAATCTTTACCTGATGCATTGTGTTGGTTGAATGTGAAAGAGACGATGAAAGGACTTAGCACCCAAGGATGGACGAAGAATGCAGTTTTGCAAGTTATTTCATTGTTGTATTTATGTGTCATCTTCATACTATAAAGACGATAAGTTCCGAGCTAGATAGATGATAGTCAACATACTCTGCTAACAGCATTTTCACATTTGAGTGGTCTAGACAAAGACGTGGGCTACAGCGAATGAACAAGAGAGTGGGTGGCTTCGAAAGACAATGTCAAACTGGCTAGAAGTTTCTCATTACTAATATCTAAGAGGCTGGCTACAATCTACAACAGTTGATTCCGAAAAAGAGTTACCTCTTTGGCCGTGCGTTCGTAAACGTTGGAAGAGATGACGCTCTTTTGGCAGTGCTCTAAGTAGGAAATGACGTCTTCGGTACACTTAAGTGACCATGCCTGGTTAGACAATATGAATACACTCTTCATTTCTTTCCATCTAAATTCTAACGATCTAGGCCAAGGCCTTTTCAAATGTTCTACATGTGCAGGCATTCCAAAGAGAACACTACGAGCTATATCGAATAAAATTAGCGTTTGCACTTGGAGATCCTTGAGCAACACTGCATATTCGACAAGAATAATCCATGTACTGTGACGTACGGGTTACTAGGATTAATTGGCAGGCAGGTGGAAAGCATGATCGTTTCAGTTGCCAGTTCTATATCAGGTATTATTCCGAATTCGTGATTCACATGAGCCGGGAGATGCAGATGGTGACACCTTCTACGTCCTTATGTTGTCTCAAAATCCTCAAAGTGGTAGGAGGACATGATTAGTAGAAAAGATCATGCCTTTAAGGTGCAGATTGTGTGCAAACCGTTCCCAGCTTCCTATTATACCTCATGACATCATGTAGCCTCTGGGCTTTCAGTAAAGCGAAGAATGTCCGACTCTCACCAGTTCCGTGTAAGTTTGATCGTGGGCCTGTCTGTTCATACCAAACAGCTCTCTTTTCTTCAGTATTCAGAATCTTCAGCGTCCTACAGAGACCTAAGGACATATTTGATAGCTAATTTGCAATTTTATTCAGTTGTAAAGCGAGAAATTGTTGCCCAGTATCGTCCTGATCAGCTGGGCGCTGTTGCTAGCTGGAAACTTTTTCTCACACCTCGCCTAGATTCGAGTAGTAATCTGTCTGTTGTTTGTAAAGTTTACTTCCTCCTGCAAGAAAGTGCCAGGGTGGGATAAGTTAGCTGGAAGTGTTCAAATTCCCTTTTTTACAATCTGATGCGCTACTCAATGGAGGTCTTTTACTAAAGGTCTTAGAAGCGAACGTGTTTATATTAAAATGCTTGCTCTATTCAATTGAAACCTCTGTTTCATTGCATTGACGTAAAGCTCGATACTGGGGTCAGATAATCGGACAATGGATTTAGTTTCTATTATGCAGCGGGTCAGCAGAGGTGATTAACTTCTCTTTGGCATAATTTTGGAGAACCAATGGCGATGGCTTCTCAAGTTCATGCCATAGTTGATCTGGATACTTCGGACATAATGTAGATTTAATTGGACTTTGTGGTGTTTAACGTATTGAGGATGTTATAACCTTAGCTTAGTAGTAGCATCTAGGAAATGTTCGTGTCATTATTTCTTTGATGTAATAACGTGCACTGATTTTAGTGGGATGTTTAATTCCTGGAATTCATCGATAGTCTGAATTCCTGAATTTGGATTATAGATGAATCCAATGTGGTGTGTGTGCATTTATGTATGTAGTATTTTGTGCTGGATGGTATGGCCACAAGCTTTGTTCCACTGTAAAAGCATTTCAGACTTCCTTTGCCTCATGACCGAGTCCCAGTTCTCGGTTACTTTTTTAAAACTGTTGTGAAAGTGTTATTAGTCATGAGGTTTTGACTTCAAAGTAACCCTCTGAGTCCCTTGCTAAACATGGAAAATGGAGTTTATCAAATTAGACGTCAGTATTAAATGCACAACTTGCTACGATGCTGGTTGCGCATATAACTTACAAATGACGAAATTTCATCAGCCTGATGCTCCCATTCAGCATATTTAAAAGGTATGTAGAGGCCAAGGTCCACCATTAGAGTATCTAGATGCGTTACTGAGGTCTTTATAACCACGCAGAAAATTCTTCAGGTGAAGATCGTCGTGTCCAACTGCCTTGGTAGGATACTCTGAAACCAGGAATGAATTGCGTCAGGTGAAGAGCCCAGATTTGGTATACAATATTTCTGTGAAAGATGACTCTAAAGTGGGCCTGGACATAGGCCATCACGAGTCAGAAAATCTTGTGATCAAACACTTTTCCTTATGACGATGGATCAACTGTCACTATCGTGTTTGCCTATGTTTTGTCTATCATAGCCTTCATCTGTGGCAGAGCTTCCGGAAACGTTCTTAAAGGTCAAAGCCAGACCAGACTCGGACCTCTGGGAAGGCGATTAAAGTGCACCAGAGAAGAAAAGGCAAGAAACATATCGAAGAAACATACTCAGACTCTTGAGTCAAGCTACGGGAGATTGAATGGTATAGATTGACCACTTTTGATATGAGCTTACTAGTTCGCAGGTTACAATATTTAAAGGCGTTAGCACTAAGAGTTGAAACGCAGCCCTTGAAACCTGTGATCCAGCTCTCCACATGCTCGCAAAAGTGACAGCTGTGGTGATCAAGGGTCAAGGTAACGAAACAATCATACATACATCACACATTTATTTCATATATTTCAAAGTATCCCTATATCAAAATCTTAATGTGGACAGGCATTGGCTAGAAGCGATGATGTCTTCTATGTGTTCCATGCGTCTACCTTCCATAAATATTTAAGGTAGATATTCTTCAATATGTTTATCCAGTAACCTAAATTGTCAAGTTCACAATCTTTTCCTTACCAAAGTAAACAATTCACTTTTGATTGTGATGATCCGGTTGATGAAGGACAAGAAGGTTAGAAACATCAACACTACTTCCCTGTGAGGAGGTTTTCTAATAGTAATTTATATATTGTATTTTTATGGTATATATTGTTGAACCGCGTCTCTAAAGATACATGTCTATTAAGTGTATATAGCGCTACGTACAAATGTAATTTGTTTCATGCTTTATAAGTGTGCAATCAATTAGGTGTATATTTGTGATACAAAATCTTCAAAAATTCACATCTATTACATATAGAGATGCAGTAAAATTATATTAAAAAAACACCTGATACCTTATTCAGATATGAACATCAATAGAGATATTATTTATCGATTTCTTGAATTAGGTAGGCATCATTGCAGATAATTATTGTATGTGATAGAGTAAATCTTTGTGAAAAATAAGTGAAATTTTTTCTGTTACTTGAAATTTCCAAATTAAAAAAAGAGGTAGTCAAAAAGGTAATTTTATCTGCTGGATATAATTACATATATACATATATTTGGGAAATATTTATCTTTTCTTTGCTGTGTTTTGTATATATTATTCTTTTCACTAGTACTCCATATATAATCAAGGATTTTTATACCCTATGGAAACCTTAGATTTCTTCTTTCCTTTGAATATGTAAAAAATATTTTCATAGCTCAACAATTTCTTATGCTAAGAAATTACATCTATGATATCTTCACAATATGTTTATATATCACAGTAGGAACATATTTATGATGATATATAGTTTGATTCCAAATGATGATTAGAAATGAAAACTACGTACAGATCAAAACCAATCCAAAAATTATTCAAACTGTGATCAATCAAAACTGAAGTTTTTAGTCTCGGGCTTGAAGAATCATAATTTTATGAGGATCTAGAAAACATTATTTGACAAGGGCATAAACTAGTTTCAAATTTTGAACTTTTATATATCAAATATATATTACAAAGCTCCGAAGGAAT